TTATTGGTAATACAAATTATCCACATCCTATTTAGGCCCTGTCAACTTGAATGAACTGTGAGGATTCAGTAGGTCCAACATTCCATTTTGTTCCCAATCACATCTACCAAATTCTCAAATTCGTATTTACATAAAATATCCCATCCACAGAATTGTAGGATAAATAGTACAATAAGAAGTTATCTTAAATAAAATATTTAATATCTCTCATTCGGTAATCATTCATTCAAAATTCTTTTTTCTCATACTTATTTTCAATCACTCATTCTCAAAATAAAATATTATTCACATAAATCCAAAATTTTCCCTACTTTTTAACCACACGTTCTCCAAAATTACTAATCAAAATTTCATTCTCTTAAATATAAAGCAGTCATTCTTAAAATTCAAAAAATTGATTGGGAAAATTTAAAATCAAGAGGTAATATATAAATTTATAATTTCGAAGCTATTTTTCAAAATTTTATATTATTTACCCGTTCGTCTACCTATGTGCACCTCCGCCTGAACAATACAAAGACTTCAAAAGTGTTTTGTACGATTATAAAGAATATTTCATTTGGGAAGAATTTATAAACGATTTAATTTATAAGTACATAGAAATGAGTCGTGGATAAATGAAACACGGAATATGCTACTTATACATAGAGGTGTCAATCCGGGTGGGCCGGACCGAGTCGGTCCGCCAACATATGAGCCCGGTAATGGCCCACGTGAAAAAAAAGTCCGCCCGCTACAGGTTCTGGGTCGGCCCACAAATTTTGGACTACAACTCAAACCCGCCCGCTGACCCATCCGGGTCGAGCCCATACGGGTCGTGGTTCACGAGTCACGGGTTGTTCCAAGAATTTTTTATATTGATAGCAAATTTTTTTTTTTTTTTTTTTGTTAAATGTAAACTAAGAATTGAACAAAATGATGAATTCATATTTATACCAAGAAATGTTTACATATAATTCAAATTTAATAATTGAAATTTAACAACTAAATGCATTTCCAATTACGTGAAGGTATATATTTATAACAAAATACATCCCAACTAGGTTGGCACCTACTTTTACTAAAATTTATAATTTATGTATATCTCAACTAGCTTGTCACCTACTTAAGTCTTAACTATTAACTATAATTTAGTTGTTGAAAAATTATATATTTGTTTCTCAATCAATCTTCATGAACTGTAAGATTTTTGAAGTCTTCAGCAACATCATCATTAATTTTATCTTGCATCATTCGATCCCCAAATATCCAATCTTTCACACATATGAGAGCTTCCAAAATATCTTCTTTAAGTTTAGATCTTCGTTCGTCTAATACCCTGTTACCTGCACTAAAAGCAGACTCGGATGCCACTGTTGAGACTAGAACTGTTAGTATATCTCGTGCCATTTTAGATAATACAGGGTATAACCGCTCATTTAATTTCCACCATCATATCTAACTTATCCACTTCATCTTCAGGTATTAAACTATAATGATCAAATTGATAATATCTTTATAATTCAACAGGTGTGGTATGTGGATTTGCACTTGAAGTTGAAGTAGTAGATGAACGGCTCTCTCCCTTTTTTAAAAAAAATTTGTTTTTTTTTTCAATTTTTTTTTACGGGCCGCGGGTTAATCGCGGCCAGTGGGGGTGCAATCCGCAAAACCCGCGGGTTACACCTCCTTGGCCCGTGAACCGCCCGCACGGGTCACGGGTCGGCCCGCGGTCCCGGTTTTCACGGGTTTGGCCGGCCCGTCCGTCTTGACACCTTTACTTATACATGTGCCATATCCTCCTAATTCTGGTACAAAGCATATGGGATTGTCAATATTGTTTGTAACATATAACATGAGAAAAATAAAAAAGAAAGGTTAAGGTGGGAACAAATTCATATGGGGGCACCGAATGTGGTAGTCCTAAATGTCAACATATATGGATAAGGTGAAGTACCATATGTGGCTAGTGTAACCCTCTAGCATTTGTTGTTTTCACTAAAAGATACACACTAAAAGGAGGCCGAGGGTTTGGTGGTGGTGAGAGGGTTAGGTGGAGGTGCTTGTGCTGGTGCTAGAGGTAGAGGTGGAGCTGGTTTTGGTGTAGGTGTTGGTGTTGGTGCAAATGGAGGTGTAGGCGGTGGATTGGTAGAGGTGGGGGAGTAGGGGTGGTTCTGTTTTTGGAGGAGTAGCTAGTGGTGGTTTTGGTTGTGGCGCTGGAGGAAATGGTGGCGGCGACGGGGAAGGTGGAGGTGGATTGGGTGGGAAGGTGGATGTGGATTTGGTGGACGAGCTCGTGGTGGAATAGGAGGTGGTGAATTTCCTTGAGACTTCAATCTCATTCCAATCTATCTATAAACTACTATATGTCTCATGACTCAATAAAATAAAAAAGATGGTCATTGAACTACGTTTTTTTAATTTGTACCCAAAAAAAATTATTCAAATAAATTCATGTAAGCTTCTTATGATTATTGAAACTCTTTCCCTTCTTGTATTTTATTTCTTCAATGCAAATCTACAAATAAAAATGTTGCTCTATAACATATTTTGATCCATTTAAGTGCTATTATTGTCAATTTCTCTTTTGAAAACTTCAATGGGCTGAAATAAACCGCGTTGAATTTTTTGGTCAACCACCCATTTACAGTTTTGGGGAATTGATGCCAATAGCACTAAATGCCATTCAAATTTGAGAGTTGATATGTATATTTTTTTATTTTTATTTATAAAAAACTAGTAGCCTCAATCAAATCAAAATTAAAGTTAAACGTGGACCTAAAGTACCTATACTCGATGGGCTAGATTCAGTATTGAACTGATCTATACTAATAACAACCAGCCTCTGTTTGCTGTAGATTAAAATCATATTTTTAGTAAATTTTGATAAAATTTGATCGAATGTGTGTTTGAAAAGTTGTTGGTCTTATGAAATTTTAGTTAAAATTAATTGTTGAATTTGACTTGAAATTAAAATCAGATTATAATTTATTCCAAACAGGGACCTAGAATAAACATTTTGTAAGCAATGTGGATGTCTATTTTTTAGTGGGTTACTATCAGATTTTCGAATGAAATGAAGGGTTTTTTTTTTTTTTGAAGAATGTGAGATTAGCTTGATTGTGAATTAACCGCATTTAAGCACCATCAAACTTTTTTTAACACTATTTAGAGCTTGTTTTGAGATTTTTTATACTTATAAATTTTTAACTACATATTCTCACCAAAAAAAAAAAAAACAACTTGAAAATTGCCTCTAAACTAATGCTTAATACTTCCAATCTAACTTTTGGTACTTGAATTTTCCATTAGCCTTTAATATTTTCTTAGTTTTGCAAGTTAAATCATCAAATCAAAGAATCAAACTGAAACTATGGTTTTGAAACAGTCAATTTGGTGCCACCTAGAGCCTTCAACAAAACAGTTTTGAACCAGACAAAATCTTTCTAAAACGATTTGATTGAGGTTCCAGTACTTGAAATATGGTTTCAAACTGCGATGATAAATTACCTTCCTACCCTCCAAAATAAGATGTAACTGTTAAAATTTTAATCTAAATATGGTACTTAATAAATCAATTAATCTATCATAGTTCATAGATCAGACACCAAACCCTCTTGACACCACAAACTTTGAAAGCCAAAAAGCTATCAAGAACCATACTTTTATCGTGGTTTTGTTGCTATCTAGATTTATTGTTTGATGTATATAATTTGTTTTATTTCATCACCAATAAAGTCGTTAGGTTTAACCATTTAAGTTTGAGAGATCTCAAGTTGTTTTAAATGTTTTTGTTTATGTTTGAGTTTTTCTTGAATCATTTTAAACGATTAGATTTGAAAATATGCCAAAAATCGTTCCAACCAAACCTTTGACACCCTTAGTTTCTCTTGTTCATTAAGAGTATCTCCAATCTTAGTGTAAAATGTATTTAAATTGTGATTTGGATTTTCAAAGTGATTGAAAATCTCTTTAATGAAGATGCAAAGAAAATGTAAATTGCATTTTTCGACCACAAATGTAAAAAAGATGTCCACAAAAGGTAAAAGTGAATTTAAATATTTTCATTGGAGCAAAACTTAAATTTAGATTCATTGGAATACAAATGATGATGCAAAAGTGATTTTAGAAAGTACCAATTTGTGCTCAATTGTACATTACCATCAAGGATGTTCTAAGCGACCCGATTAAAACTTTAAAGTGGCTATAAAATATGAATAATGTTATCATCATGAGTTTCATAAAGATTAGAACGGATTAAGTTTTTGTGTGAAGTTTATTTGTTTAGAAGTGATTTTGTGAAAAATAAATTGTTTAATGAATATGTGGTAAAAAAATAAAAATAACTATAGTAATTTTTGAAAAATGATATTGTTGTGAAATATTTAGTTGAAAATGACTGAAAAAAATGTAATTTTGAAAAATAATTTCAAACAAGGACCAAAGTAATGTGAGTTTCTGCATTGTTCAATAGATTTTACTATTTGTACATCGGAACGTCAACCCAAGTCCCCCTTATTTTGAACCGGTGTCAATCTCGATGTACACATATCAAAACACTCAATCATTAAATTTGTGACGTATCTTATTGCAATATTGGTTCCAACTAAAATTATAATTTATTTTTCTCTCTTATTATCAAACAAACATTTTTTTATAAAATAATATTACATATAATTCAAAAAAAAATATTTTTTAACCACATATTTTTCAAAAAAATACTGTTACAACTATTAAAATTTAATATAATCGGGGCAAAATGGGGCTTAGCATGCTTTTCCTTTACAATTATGCTATATGAAGGTGATTTACAAAAATATGTTGAAAAAATAATATGATAATATCTAGGTCATTCATTTTAAAAACTTTTTTTTTTAAATCATTTGCCAAGAAGTTACCGACACGTATTTTGTAACTAGCTTTGTACAAGCATCAACAACGTCTCCTGGATTCTTCCCCATTCACATCCTCAAATTTCAGCTGGTTTAAACCCTAATTGAAAAAAATTCGCAGAAAAAAAAATGCTTCAGCCTCTGTTTTGTCTGGTATTCACAGAAGTGTTTGTGATTCTGCTGCTTCTGTTTAGAACGCCTTTGCGGAAGCCACTTCTTCTTTTGATGGACAGGGCGAAGCGCGGCCGAGGCCCGGTGGTGGCCTCCACCGCCGGAGGGACCCTCTTTGTGATTCTGGTATCGGTTTTGTATAGTATAATCAACACTCAGAAGCGATCAACGGATGGGACCCCTCTTAATCCCACGGACGAGCTTATGTTGGCCTACCATCTTCTTGAAGCTTCTCGGACGAGCGTATGTTGGCCTACCATCTTCTTGAAGCTTCGCTGTTAGGTAAACAAAAATTTTGCTTACTTTTATCCAAAACGGGAAACTCGATAAAGAAATAAAGAAATTGATCAATTGGGATTTTCTGGATTGATTATTGATTAAAAAAATTACATACAGTTAAGTTTAAATGCACAAGTAAATTTAGAGTAAATAGTCTATTTGCTAATCAAACCTACACTTTCAGAAGTAATTTTTGTTGCTTATAAGTAAAAAATAATCAGATAAATTATGTTCTGAATTGATATCCTGTATAAAAAAGATAAAGAATTTGAGGAATTGGGATTCTATGAATTGCAGGTGTTTCCCTATTTCTGGTATTGATGATTGACAGGCTTCATTATTACATAAAAGAACTTCGTTTACTGAGGAAGCATGTAGAAGCAGTAAAGAAGTTCGATCAGAGGAATGATGAAGCGAAAAACAAGGGAAAGTTAAAGACGAAAGTTGCAAAGGTAGAGGAAGAGGATTGATATTCAAGACCAATGCTAGGTAAAATAAAAATAAATGTTTTTGTTGAGGAAAACAAATACGATGAAGATTTTCTGATATGTACATAGTCAGGTTCAGTTTAATCTAACAGAGTGCTGAGTTCCTTCTCTTGTTAGTGTAATAATAAATTGTGTTCCAGTTTGTAATAGTTTTATGGTCTTCTGCTGTAAAACATAAGACGTGCCTACTTTTTAATCATCTATGGGGTTTGAACTATTGTTCTTGTTGGGTATACGACCAAAGTCCCACATTGGTTAGAAGTGGGGATGATGATGGGTTTATAAGGATGAACAAATATCTCCATTGGTATGAGGCCTTTTAGGGTAAATCCCAAAAGTAAATGCTGTGGGGATGATCATGGGTTTATAAGAATGGACAAATATCTCCATTGGTATGAGGCCTTGTGGAGTAAAGCTCAAAAGTAAATCCATGAGGGCTTAGGCTCAAAGTGGACAATATCATATTAATGTGGAGATATGTGTTGTCCATGGCCCAACAAGTGGTATCAGAGCCAAACACCAGACTTAGCCATGTGGATGAATTCCTCGAAATGCCGAACGAAGGTGGTGAGCCTCAATCTGCTCGTGATAGGATCCATGGATGAGCTCTATTGGACAGGCGGTGTGCTCCGGATGCTTAATGGACGTGTCCTGACCCCAACACGGTGAAGAGGAGTTGATCTGGATAGAGCAAGCTCTCGAGACATGTTGTATTCCATGTAAGGCGTGTGCCTCAAACGCATTGAAGTGGAGAATTCTAGTTGGTAGAGAATGGACATATGGATTAATGTTTGAGGGGAGGCTCGATGGTCCTTTGATCGAGGGGAGGATTGTTGGGTATATGACCAAAGTCCCACATTGGTTAAAAGTGGGGATGATCATGGGTTTATAAGGATGGACAAATATCTCCATTGGTATGAGGTCTTTTGGAGTAAAGCTCAAATGCAAATTCATGAGAGCTTAGGCTCAAAGTGGGCAATATCTTACTAATGTGAAGATATGTGGTGTCCATAGCCAACAGTTCTATTAGTTTTCTTCATTTTCTTTCCTCTTTTCAAACATTTGGAAGGTGGTGGATTGTTGGCTGCATGGTATGAAAAAACCCTGCTGAGGCCCGCCTTGAGACCCGCCTCACTGTGAGGCGTAGTTTCTGCGCCTCGAGGC